GACACAGGCGTATATCCAGCAAAATATAGGCATAAAATCTTCTAGTCAGTAAACCTGCAAAATCTTAAGACAACACACTTATATACAACCTTATCAGAAATTGAAGGAATACAATGGATGATTTAACACCACAAAATGAAACCAGTATACACTGAACACCCTATCTTTTCTAGCCTTGATAGAATATAAACTCCCTGAGCAGAAGGATCATCTTGACTATCAGGTTCAGAACTGAAAGCTCAATGTCTGTAACTGTGACTAGAAAGTACCATCATGTTCAATGAACGTCTTTAAACAGAGACTGCATAGAAAGAAGATATTCAGTTAATGCTTATGAGATGAAGAAAGCTATCCAATTGTTGCTAATAATAAAAATTGTATATAAAATACATTCCCAATTTCAATCTATTCATAGATTTTCCATTTGTCTCTTGAAGGGGATACTTGAATGTTATTTACAGGAATTTTGCAGGCAGATAGCAGAGTGTGTAGAGAAAGGTGTCAGAATCAGAGATGTATATCCTTGGACAAAATTCTTTAACTCAAGGAACTCTTTGACAAATTCTTCATTAATATATTGAGAGAAAACAGAGCTCATTAAGTAGGTAATAGTGATTAATGAGAATGTTTCCCATTGTTATCATATTTCATCAATAATGCTAATTATCATCATCATTATTACTGTTACCTTCTTTTTTCATTCCTGCTCTAAAACACTTTCTTAATCGACAGTATCTACATTGATTCCTTTTGTCCTTGTCAACAACACATTGGCGACTGAACCTATAACAGCAAACACACACATTAGTTTACAGAAAGCATTCATTTATTTAAAAAAAAAAGATGCAGATAAAATAACAGTGAATTTTAAGCAATTATAGTCAAATTAGGCTCAATACAAAGAATGTGTAAGAGCAATGCCCTAAGAAAGTCTTCATCTCATGATGATCAGCACATACCCACATACCTTTCAATACAAACCTCACCTCTCAGGCAATATTTCTAATAAAATAAAACAGAATGACTACATCGTTTTTTGCCTAATATACATAATCATTTCTATTGTGAGTCATGGATGTCAAACCTAGTTTTAAGACCTTTGGCATGTAAAGTTTAGGTGTTTATTATCAAATGATTTCAGTGTGGTGGAAAATCTATCAGAACTCCAGATCCGTACACCTTAGTGTGTTTCCCTTTGGAAATATTTTTCTACTTACATGACCCTACATTCAATTGAGATTTACTCAAAATGTCAAATTATATCTTCTGGAGAACAGCACTGAGAGTGTAACTATGGCTTAATAAGGCACCTGTTCATAGCCTTTAAGATGGCTGGGGGAGGGGGGGAAGCAGACAGTACAAGGGTTAATGAAGTTGTGGAAACTAGAACTCTTACACTGCTGGTTAGCATAGGGCATGAAACTGCTGATTTGAAGGAAATTTTAGCAGTTTTTCAAAGTTAAACACAGACCTAGCCATATGAAAGGATGATTACATACTAGGTACACACTCATGAGAAATGAAAAGATATATCTATAGCAGCATACTCTTCTCTTTTTTAAAAAGATTTATTCATCTTTATTTTATGTGTATGTATTTGTCTGGGTGCATGTATGTGCACTGCATGCATGCCTGGTGCCCACAGAGGCCAGAAGAGAGCATCAGGGTTCTGGAACCGGAGTTGCAGACAATTGTGATTCACCAGGTGGGTGCTAGGAACTGAACCTGGGCCTTCTGAAAGAAGAACAAATGTTCCTAGCCACTGCATCATCTCTCTAGCATCAGCACCATATTCTTAATAGGCAAAAGCTGGAGTGATGAACAGTTAAAATGTGATAGTCTCACAGTGGAATATTAATGTTGTCAATAAATGAGAATGAAGTGCTGAACATTCTGCACTGTGGATGAAACTTGAAACACTTCTAATGACAGAAAACTCTACAAATTGTACAATTTCATTAATCTGAAAAGTCCAGAAGAAGCAAATCTATATAAATAGAAAGGAGATGAGTGGTTGCCTCACACTATTTCAGAGGAGGTGGGGAACTGGAGATAACTGCTAAAGGTTTCTTTACAGTGTGATGTGTTCTAATATGCTGGTAGCAATAGTCACACCACTCTGAATATGCTAAAGACATTGAATTTTGTAATTTTAAAAGAAAGCTTAGGGGGCTGGAGAGATGTTCAGCAGCTAAGAGCCCTGGATGCTCTTGCAGAGGACCCAGGTTAAATTCCCAGAACCTAAATGGTAACTAACAACCATCTGTAACTACAGTTCCAGAGCAAGCTAATGCCCTCTTCTAACCTCCAGGGGCACTGCAGGACATGGGTGCACTTACATGCAGGCCATACTCATATACATAAAACAATTTTTAAAATTAAAAAAAAAAGAAAGAGTAGGTTCTTTAGAGGTAGATCTGGGTCTGATTCCTAAGATCAACATTCATTCTTGATCAAACTTGGCCTGTTAACAAGGATATTCTACAAATGTGAAATAGGGAAAACAATGTATGTGAATGTACTTGAGAGTTGGGGCACATATTAATCATACGGTAAAAACTAACATTGTTTCTTAACTTTTAGCAATATTGATACTATAATCTCATTACTTCAAATTAATTATTAAATGACGAAGACAATGGAATAAGTTTTGTGACATATTAAAGCATGTGGATGACTACTTTTAACATCTAATGAGAACTAAAGCCTATTTCAACAGGGTTGAGCAACAAGTGAGTTGTGCTCTCAGATTGAGGAAAGATGAAGCATTTATATCCAATATGGGCTGAGGAGACTCAAGAGAGTAGATCAGATGTCCAAAAATCACAAGGAGAGTGTATCAAGTTAACATTAATTAACAAAAGTAAAAGAAACATATATTATTAAGCTATGACTGACCGTGTCCAAGACCTTGCTGTAGGACCAAAGAAATGAGTAATACTTGTCTCTTCCATTCAAAGAAATCATAATCTAGCAAGTGTAGTACACATTATTATAATCGTTATAGAAGCATCTCACAAAATGTACTGAAGCATCAGCTTAAGGTGTTTTAGGAGAGAAAGGCCAACTTCAGCATCAAGGTACTCTTAAAGCAGAATCTGAATTTATCAGTCTAAAAATGGATAAACTTGAGATCAGTTAAATTTGTGCTAAAAAAAATTGTGTTTAAATTTGCATCAATATAACTACTTTTCCAAAAAAAATCACAGGATTTACTGGATACCAAAATGTGTACAGAAGACTAGGAGATTAGCGGCACACGTGATGGGAAGGCACAAAATGGCCCGCTCTAGAGTAGGCTGCTTGTTAAACCTCTCACAGTTGCTCTGGGAGTGACTCTTGCCTCGGCACCCCATGAAAGAAAGGTGAAGTCAGCTTCTTGACAACGGTCAGATTCAGTTGCTGGAATTGCCACTTTTCACATATGTGCACTTCACTTTTAATAGCTCACGTGATTCCCCAAATTGGAAATTATATGCTGTTTTGTTGTTTGGGTGTCAATTTTAAGAACACTAAATGTTTAAGATTACCATAGAGAAAATGTTTTGGGGGAGAGTTATTTTTACCCCTGGAATTTTTATGTTTATAAACACAACATCCCTCTAAATATTCTTTTATTTGTCAAGTTTCTAGAGTTGATGATATATCTATGAACTATACTAAACATTTCTGAAAAATATAATAACAATAATAATTAATGATAATGCCAACATGCTTATTGTTGATGAAACAAATACAGACTTTCTTTATGTAAAAATCCGTGATTTTTGTCAACAGTCCATATTCAACCTAAACATAATCTACATTCAAGAGCTATCATACAAATCAATCAGGGTAAAATAGTTAAATGTAAAATTAGCTATGATATTGTCTAGGTAATAGAAATGTGTGACATACATAAAGTAGTTAAACAAAATTTAGAAAAATAACAGTTAAAGTCAATTGCATAAAATTTAATATGAGAATTTCATTCTAAATTTTAGAAGTGAAAATTGAATTTTGCTCATTGAAATCACTAAGTTACAAAACATCTGTAGTTTTATAATTTTCTTGTTAAAGGCCCAGGATGTAGTGATACTGAAAAGAAAATCAAAATTACTATACACCTTCGGAAACCATTTATATAGATTTTAAAATGTTTAGTGGTGTAAGAACATGTGATAAAGCAATAAAGAGACACAAGGAAAAGATTAACAGCAAATTCCAGATGGTAGTTCCCCTAGGACATC